AAATTTCATTTACAAACAGTCCTTGAAGACCCCGCTCTGTGACCAAGACAGGTGCAACTGGACAGGTGAGTGCCAATTAGCACATTACATCGCAAGAAAATCTTCGACTTCGATATTGAAATGAAGAGGCGCTTCGCATAAATCGCATAAATATGTTAATTAGTCAAGTGCCGCACGACGCGAACGTAAACATTCTGCGCTGTTCGCTTGAATTTGTTTAGAATTAATTTCAGCTCCGTTTCATTTGCATAAATTGTGTGAATGTTTAATGGACTTGTTTGCCGTACGGCAACTGAAAGCAAAATCAAAATCAAAATAAAAGCGCGCGACGAAACGGCCGAAAGTAAAAGTTAATTATCGCATAAGACTAGAATCGTCAATTGGGTCTCGCCTAGAATTGGGTCAACGGGGAATCGGGAATCGGATTCATTCGATGAATGAAAACAGAATGGCTTTCACAACCGCATGATAAGACTTCAAATGGTTTAGTAATTTGAGAAGCTAAAAATAATTTTGAAACACTTCTTGTGCGCCACAATTGACCTCTGGCTTTCGGGCCGTGATTAAGCATACGCAGCGTGGCCGAGCCGGATTGTCTCAGTTCGTAGGAAAGAAGCGGGACAAAAGAGAGATAAGCCGGCTCTTCGGAAGATGGAAGAGGTCGTAAACAGGGGAAAAAACAAAACTAGTGCTCAACGCACGAAATACGAAACGGTGGCTCAGAGAAGTCAGAGGCCCACAGCAGCACAGTGATAAGTCGACGCAGAAATTAATGCTGCCCAAGAATCGGATTCGGATTTCCACTCAGCAGAGACAACGGAAGATTTCCACTCGGCCAACTGATTAAATTTATTTATTATGTCACTCTCCGTCTGTGTCTGTCGTTAGATGGATGATGGCCCCTTCTTCCCCGAATCTCCGACTTTATGGCCTGTTTCTAGCTCTTAAGTCGCATAATGACAGAGAAATCGTTGGCTAAGGTCTCCCTTCTGTTTCGCATCCCCCTGCTGAAGATTTCTTATCGATGGAGGGCAAATTGAATTTGGACTGCTGCTTATCAGCCTTTTGTTTAGCGATTGTCGCTTATCGGGTATCCCCCGAATCTGTGCAACCCGATATAAGATACGGCGACTCTTGTGCCAAATATTTGGCAGATAACTAAAGTGGAACCAAGGAGTGACACCCAACCCAAAATCCAAGTACGTGCCGAAGGGAAACTTTCGCCGGGAAAAAAACTGCAGTCGATTTCAGTTCTCGTCGGGGAGTTACGTGGCTTGTGGGGATTGTTCTTTGGGCTATGGTCTCTGTGTGTGTGTCACAGGGCGATAAAAATTAACCCGTTGCGCTCCGAAGTTCGGCGCTCTAATCCACGTCTCATGTTTACACGTGCCACCATTTCGCTGTCCATTTCTCGGTGAGTTTTGCTTTTGCGTTATCAAACAAAACCTGAGCGAAGCTCGGTCGCCTTTTATTTTCGGTTTACGGCGCTCAGTTCAATTGGTTTTGGCTTTTGAAATGGTTCCACGCTCTTCGGACATGACTCAATGCGGACATTAATCATGCATCCAACCAAGTCTCAGTTATATATATAGGTATGTATTTTCAACTAACCGGGCGAACAAAGGGTGTTAGAATACTTTTTGTTTCAGCATCGCTGAGCAGAGATTTAAGAGGGGTGGGGGAAAAAAAGCAACCGCAAAACAACAATAAAGAAACCAAACGAAAATTACTTTTCTACTAATTGCAACTCTGGAACCGAACTGCTGAGGTCATCAGGTGGACTGCGAACAGAGGCGAGGGGCAGATCATTTGGCCAACAGTTCAAAACAATGCACAGGAAATTCGCATTTACTCAGTGCCAGAGAAAAGCCAACAATAAACCAACAAAAATGCTATGCAACATCAACGTTTTCCTTTGCCATTGTAGATGGGAATTTGCACAAAGCCTTGGATTGAGTAATGATGCCAGCGGGATCAGAGAGAAACGGCTAAGGAATAGCTTATTTTTCAGATTGAAATTCTCTCATCCCATGGAGCTTAAGCAAGGGAAATACATACAAAGCTAGCCCGGGTAGCGAAGAAATTTCTATTTTATTAAAATACTCCCTCGCAAAATAGGTTTCTTATATTTGCAAATAAATTCGGTGTTGAATTGGATTCGTTAGCTAAAATCAGTACATAAACCATTTTTCTTTTGTTCTTGTCTTACTTACAAAAAAAATGTTGTAAAAGTCTTACATTCAAATGCAGAAGAACATTATTTGTAAATTTATGAAATTAAAAATATAACAATAATTTTCGTGTTTTTGAAGTGATAACTAATGATAATTTTTTACATTGCTAACTTATATATTAGCCCTTTACTCAACCCCGTTCTATTTTGTTAAAATTATTTTGATGCTTTCCAAAACTTGTCCGCAATATTCGCAGTGCACCGAGAAAAATAAAACCCCCAATCACTGCCGCTCTCCCAAATTACTGAACCTTTATTTGAACGCCGGGTTGCCAATTGACATGGCTGCAACCTCTACTATTGCATAACACCTGACAAATGCAATTCAGGCAAAATGCATCGACGATGCTGATGATGGCCTCAAGTGAATAACACTCACGCAAACACGCGACGCACTTTGGGCTCGGGATTGCGATTGGGTGGCTCCATTCCAATGGGTACTTTAATAAAGTGCAGTCCAAATTGTGGGCCATCGCAAGGCAGCCTTGCTTTTGTTGTTTTTGCCAGTGGTGCTGGTGGTGGTGACGGTGGTGATGCGGTGGTGCTGCAGTTGCAGCCGCCGTGGCGTCAATTATCGCCGCTGTACGCAAAGTGGGGCAGGCAAATAATAAAAACGCGCCCAAACGCAGTCGTCAGGCTCAAAGCACTTCATTGTCAAATGAGCTTAAACACCACGCCCCTCGGCCCCGATTCCGCCCCGTTAAGACCCCCTCCTCATCGCCGACCCCATCCCCCAACCCCATCCACATCTCCATCTCCATTCTCGTTTTCATTTGTGCAGCACTCTTTGCTGCGTTTTCGTTTTCATTTTATTTCAGCATCGCTCTCTTCCGATACCCTATCCATTTCACACCTTATTCAAGTCTTTTAGTAAATCAAACCTTTTGATAATGAATTTTAGAATATTTAAATTTTTCTGTACAATTTTAAATATTAATACATTAAGATGCCTTATAAATTTGAATACCCTTAGACCCTATAATTTAGATTTTTCTTTCTGAATATTATTTTAAGATTAAATCTATTTTTAGAATGCAAAAGATAAAATTATTTTAAGCGGAATTTTAGGGTTAGAATAATGAATAATAAAGAACAAAATAAAAAATAAAATTGTTAGTACATTTATGAATGAATTTATTTCCAAGAAATAATAAGTAAATTAATATTATTTACGTTTTAAAGGACTATAATTACACTGTGCAACATTTTTAGGGTTATAAAATGTAACCGCAATTCTGATTTCATTGGCGGAAAGAACTCATCGAAATAAGCTAAAACCCATTTGGGTTTCTTTGGCTTAGCTCGCGTTTACCTATTATAGCGAGTTAAAGTTTTACATACAAAATTTATTTGTAACGGCCATATCTTGTGAACCGATTAAAATTTCACTATCAAGTCTTCAGTGATTATGTAGCTATGAACCCAAGGAACTAAATTGACAAATGACTCTTGCGCACTTAGCACCTAGTGCACCTAGCGCGTTAAAAACAAATTTGCCTAATTTTTCGATTTTTAACGCGCTAGGTGTACGTCTTCGCAAGAGTCATTTGTCAATTTTGTTCCTTGGGTTCATAGCTACATAATCACTGAAGACTTGATAGTAAAATTTTAATCGGTTCACAAGATATGGCCGTTACAAATAAATTTTGTATGTAAAACTTTAACTCGCTATAAAAGGTAAACGCGAGCTAAGCCAGAGAAACCCAAATGGGTTTTAGCTTATTTCGATGAGTTCTTTCCGCCCATCAAATCAGAATTGCGGTTACATTTTTCATGTTGCACTGTGTTATTATTTGGATCTTACTTTATTAAGTGGCCTGTAAAAAGAAAGCGTATTGAAAGTTATTTCTTTAAAAAATCACCTCTTCCTGGCTGTTTTTCTCTTTTTTCTGCAGTTTTGTTCGCCGTTTTCACGCCTCACTTGCCGCCTTGTTTGCCTCGTTCGCTGATTTGCTGATTGATGGCGACGTCTGCAATTGAGACTGCAACTGCGACCGCGACTGGGACTTCGGATCCGTCTCCGACTCCGCGCAGGTGTCGCCGCCTAATTAAATGAAGGCAACGTTCACGCATGCGTAACCTGCAAACACTCCCAGGCCCACTTGCCCCGCCCCTCGAGCGCCCTTCGCAATGCATTGTTAAGAAAATGGGTCAATATGCAATTATTGCATTTTATTTTTCTTATTTTTTTCACTCTGTGGGCTCAGCTTCGTTTGCGTCACTCGCGGAGAGTCGAGAGGCGAGTTCGCAATAATCATAATATGGCTACTTCACTTGGCAAAGCAATCAAGCCGAGGCCTCCGAGGTGTTGATTTTGTTAATATTTGCCAGCAGGCAGCAAACGATTCTCGGTGTCCACCGCTCCCAATTCGCGGAACTCGGGAAGGAGTCAAAATCAATGCATCGTTGCATGTGCAACAGCTCCCAGTTCTATGGGTTAATGAAGCGACGCCAGAGTTTGTTTGGTGTGCTCCAATTTCGAGGGTGATGGAACCATTTAAGGGGAATCTTGAAATTGATTTGCGGAAATGCACAGAAAGTAATTTCAAGCGGAAAACTAATCAAGACGCTCTCATTTAAGAATTTATTAAAAGTTTTGTGTGATTTATAACCGCGTTTTACAGTGAATACATAAGAAAATCATTGGTTCTCTACCAATATGCCGCCAAAATCTGAGAGGAAATAAATATTTTTTGGGATAATTTCCTGTATAATTTAATATTGCTCAACAATTTACCAGACTTTACTTTCAGATATATGTCTAAATTCTAAAATATGTCTAACCTAAAATAAACAGACCTCCAAAATACAATCTCTTTCGGCCCCAAACCGTTTAAATTAGGCCTTGTTAGGACAGCAACATGAGGGTCCTTCTAGGAGCCGAAAGTTTTCTGAGCATCGTAAGTTCCTCAACAACTTGACCATTTTTAAAAACCTAATAAAATTTGACAAATTTAAGTGCAAGCACCGGATACGATGGTACAGCAAGGGCAAGTCATACTTACCTCCGAAAGAACTCTACGAAAAGGCAATGAAAGCCATCGAAGCTCGCCAACTAACGATTTCCGCACGCTTGAGACCTGGAAAAGAAAAAAAATCAGAAACACCCATTTTGGAAATATTTTGTCGGGCATTAGCGTCTTCAAATAAGTCGGGTGATAATGGCAAGTCTAAAGAACTTAAAGAACCTTTAATCTCTAGTTCCAAGGACCAAAATCCCGCAGTTTCCAGCAGCCAGAAGTTGAAGAAAAATGTAGATTGTATTAACCTTATTGTTAACCAGGACTTCCAACCACAATCTAAAAGCCCTTTAGAGCCGCCTCAAATAAAATTGGAAACACCGCAAATTTTCAACTGCAAGAACTGTTATGAAAAGAATTCTGTGAACACTCAAGGCTTTCCAGAAATGTTGATTGCAAACTGTAAGGATTGCCATGGAGATGGAAATCTGCAATCTTTAGATTCCATTATGGGCTCGGCAATACCACCCCAACAGGGAAACAATCCAAAAGAAAGAATTGGCGTTATTGAAGAGCTTTCAAAATCCCCATCCAATCCAAAGGTTAGCGAAATTCGATCATCAAAACAAGATACAAAAGCAGTGGCTCCAGGTAAACCTCAAGAATCTGCAAGTCTTCCGCCTCTCGCCGAAAGATTTACCATGCCACAAAAGTTGGCTTTTCCGGTGGGAAGAAATCCCTGTGTCGACGGAAGTAGAGCTGAGAAGCCCAAACCTTGCTCCTCGGCCCAAAAAGTACCCAAACCACCATCTAAAGCCAATTCCCCAGTTAAAACCGCTCCTCAAGGGAACTCTTCGACTAAAACAAAGGCGGTGGATAAACAAAAGGCTCCTGTAAGTTCAACACCTCAAGCGAAGCCAAAGGTAGCGAGCCCGCCAAATAATCCTCAATCAGAGAAGATACCATCAAATTCAAAGGTTGGATTTGCCATGCCAAAAAATTCAGCTTTCCCATCGGGAAGGAACCCCTGTACAGACGGGAAGAAAAATGGTAAGAAATCCAAATGTGCAGCAACAAAACCTGAAACAAAAAAAACAAAGATAGGAAAGTCTCTGGAAACGAAAAAACAAAAAGCTCCGGTTAAAAAACAATGTAAGCAAGAAAAGAAAGAAGACACTTGCATGAAAGAATCCCCGGCTAAAAAGACAGCCACTGTTTCAAGTAGTTCTTCACAACCTAAGCCTGCACCGCCGGAAAAACCGCCAAAAGAAAAATCTTCGAGACAGGGTGTTGTCAATTCAAGACAACCTAAGGTTAAGCCCGCCAATGCTCCTCCAAAACCTAAACCCAAGCCAAAACCGCAATTTACAGATGGAAAACTACCACCACTGCCATCCTCCAGTTTTTCCATGCCGATCTTGTCGGCCTTTCCTATGGGAAGAAATCCATGCCGAGATGGTCCACGAGGAGCATCCGCTGATGGTGGTGATAAACCTAAAGATAATCCCTGCTCTAACCCAAAAGTTAAACCCTGCAAGTCTGAAATAGATTCTTGCGCTTCGGCAAAGGAAAGTTCTGGTGTTGCTAGCTGCTCCTCTAAAAGTTCTCTGAAGAAGAAAGCTTCATCTTCTATTGCCTCAGCTCCCAAAAAAGGTGCTAAGCCTCCAGATAACTTAAAGTCTGCGCCAAAGGCTTTGCCGCCTCCACCAGTTAAAGAAATTAAAGAGTCCACCGGAGGTTCCGCTGCAAAGGTTCCTCTGCCACCACCGCCTGCTAAAGAAATTAAAAAATCTTTGGGTCCTTCACAACCCCCATCTAAAAAAGAAATCAAAAGCTCTACGGGTCCTCCAGAGAAAAAAGAAAAATCATGTAAGCCGCCTTTATCAAAATCCCTAAATTGCAAAGTAAAATGCGACTCCGAAAAAGTTCCAAGTAAATGCTCCGAATTAGATAAAAGTCCAAAAGGCAGTGAATCTCCGAAACACGAGTTAAAAAGGTTTCCGGCTCTTCCACTGAAACAAAGCCTCGCCAGTTATATCAGCAGTATAGAACCACTTCTCAGCGAGGAGGAACTCAAGGAGGAACAGAAGATTGTCAAGCAATTTCGGGAGAACGAGGGAGCGGATCTTCAGGAGCTGCTGGAGGAGGAGGCCGAAAAGTGCAACAACTGGTTGACTCCAAGGTGGACAAGATCCGCGTATTTGAGCTATCAGGCTCCTCTGACCATCTTCTCCAGTCCAAGTCTCTCCTTCCCCGTTCAAGAGTTCACAGAGCCCCAGGATTTTCTCAACTTTACTGCCAAAGCGATTTACGCTATTTGCGAATTCAAGAAGCTAGTGTACCAAAACCAAATTCCAGTGGTCAAGATGGGCAAAAATATGCTGGACAACAGCCAGTTCTGCAAGATCTTTGGCACGATTCGAAAGCCAGGACGATTTTGCGATACAATCGAACAGTACAGCGATGCCGATTACGTTGTGGTGGTCTACAATAATAACGTAAGTGATTAATATCACTGAAAAGTGTTTACAAATATCAATAAACTTAATTTCAAAAGCTATTTGTATTTACCTCGATTTTTATCTTTTTCTTTAAATTATTTATTATATTTTATTGGATTTAATATATTATTATTTTCTTTATTATAGTGAATTATTTTTAGTAAAGTTAATAGAAAATTAAAATTTTATCTTCCTGATTCTTAAGATCAAATAAAAACACCTCTTAACGAGGTAAAAAACTAGTGACGACCGCACCTTCAACATACAAAAGTTCTGATATCAACATTTGTGACGAAAAATTATTACACTCGTCATTAAATAGACTTTCTAATATTTTCTCATTCGGCCCGCCCTAGCAAACTATTCCAGCATTTTTCCCTTCACAGGCATTTTCTATTGCAGCGTGCCGAATGAGAAAATATTAGAAAGTCTATTTAATGACGAGTGTAATAATTTTTCGTCACAAATGTTGATATCAGAACTTTTGTATGTTGAAGGTGCGGTCGTCACTAGTTTTTTACCTCGTTAAGAGGTGTTTTTATTTGATATCAGAAGTTTTTGTTTGTTTACATTTGCTCTCATAGGAGCTAATATATACATTTAAATTTAAATTGGTCAATCATAATTTTTAAACTATTGTATTTTAACAAATTAAGTTAAAAAGGCGTTGAAGTATTTTAAAATACCTTTTAAACGAGGTATAGCACATGTCTGTACCTTTAGTAGTGTAGAACTTACAAACTAAAGAAATTTAGCTATTTTTAGCTTTTTCCCGCTAAAGTAGCGGCTTTTTCCAAAAGTCGTAGAACAAAAGATTCCTATATGGAACTCTTAAGTGCAAATTTACTGATTCCATGACCCTAAAATACAGTTCGGATACCCTCCCACAAAATTCAATACTCAGGGAGCGTTAATTGTTCGAGCTGGCAAAAGTGGCTATTTTCGTATAAAAATAACTTTTAAACGTGACTTTTTACAGTAATGTGTTATATACCAAAATTTAAGGAATCTCAAGGGCTATACAGTTTAAAGTTGTAAGGAAAATCGTTAGAGCCGTTTTTGAGAAAATTAAAAAAAGCTAAAAAAAAGTTTAAACAAATTTTATTTTGTTCATATCTTTTTAACTATTACATTTACTCAAATTGCATATAGAAGGCGTTTATAGCATTTAAAAATACCTTTCAAACGAGATGCAGCACAAGTCTGTAGCTTTAGTAGTATAGAAGTTACGGCTTTCCGAATTTTAGCTATTTATAGCTGTTTTCCCGCTAAACTAGCTAGTTTTTCCAAAAGTGGTAGAACAAAAGTTTTTTATATCGATGTGATGAACGTCATATCAAATTTTCAGAACTTAAAAAACATATTTTGGACAAGTGGACAAGTGGACAAACAGAATTAAATTTTCATTTTGGGAAGAAGAAGAAAATCTTATTTTGGCTATAACTTTTGAACGGAGCGTCGGATTTTGACAAATGACCCCTCATTCGACGGGTATTTTCAAAAGGAATACAAGTAAAACATTGCGAGGGGGCATTTATCCCCACCGGCCCCAACAGCTCCAAATTTCGAAATTTTAACTTTTTCACTTTCCCCGCTCTCTCTCCCAAGCCAATTGATTTTCCTAAAGTCTTGGTATGCAATCCTTTAAGTTTTTGCAATACCTTTCGATAGGTGTATCATTCATTATGATCGGACCATCACAGTAGATTTTCATTTCTTCGTGTATATATAGTAGTCGCCTTCGCACACTCTCCTGGTGCGCTTCGTCACTACATGGACTGCCGTCCATAGTGATAGTCGCCTTCGCACACTCTCCTGGTGCGCTTCGTCACTACATGGACTGCCGTCCATAGTGATCTTAACTAAATTCCTCTTAACCTTTGTAGTTCTACAAGTTACCTATCTATTCGGAGAGTGGAAAACTGTTGAGTGCTAACAGCCTGAGAGATGCCTTGGAGAAGATTCTCAACTGCCCCGTAGAAAAGGGCGAACCTTTCGGCCTGCTGACCCACGACAATAGAAGCAACTGGGCAGAGGCTTACTCTGCACTCTGTTGTCCCCATGGAAACGCCGATGCCGTAGAAACCATTGAGCAATCCCTGTTCTTGGTCTGCCTGGACCAGTGTGTTCCAGTTCCCAAGGGAAAGGAGAGGATTGTGCAGGCACACCAGTTCCTCCATGGCGGTGGACTGCGCCAGAATAGCGCCAATCGTTGGATGGACAAGACCATCCAGCTGATAGTCAATCCAAATGGATTGGCTGGCTTTTGCTATGAACATTCCCCCGCCGACTGCCAGCCGTTGGCCATGCTGATGGACTTTGTGCAGCAGAAAGTGTAGGCTAATTTTAACCAAAATTATTTTCAATTAAATCAAAATTCTCCTATATCTTTAGGAACGAGGAGAACTATGGTTGCGATGACTGCAAGTCGGACAAGGAAATCCCGTTTAAGCTGCTGAAATTTCAGCCTGTGAACGAGTGCATCAATTTGTGGCTGTGCCAGGCCAGGCGCAACATCCAAAGGATATCCAGTCAACTGCTGATGAACGTGTTCCACTTCGAGTGCCACGGCAAGTGCTTCATCAAGGCGCAGGGCCTGAATCCGGACAGCTACATCCAGATGGCCCTGAGTTTGGCCTACTACTCGATGCACGGGAAAATACCCGCCCAGTACGAGTCGGCGCACTTGAGGATTTTCTGTGAGGGACGCACGGAAACCATACGATCCACCTCCAATGAATCAAAATCCTTTGTCCTGGCCATGCAATCGAAGGGGGCTTCGAGTCATGAGAAGCTGGCAGCCCTGCAAAGGGCGGTGGATGCCCACGAGAAACTGATCAAAGAGGCCATCAATGGACAGGGCATCGATCGCCACCTCTTTGGATTGCAGCAGATGGCTTTGGAGAATGGACTGCCACTGCCGGAATTCTTTACGTCAACGGGTTTCGTAAGATCGGTGACATTTCAACTCTTCACCTCTCAGGTAGCCACTTCCCACGAGGGCTTCATGGCCTACGGACCCCTTATATCCGACGGCTATGGGGTCTGCTACAATCCGCAGGAGGAAAAGATCATCTTCGCCATCTCCTCCTGGAAGACTTGTCCGGAAATAAGTCCTACTAAATATGGTAAGGCCATAAAAAGCTCCCTGAATGCCATGAGAAGACTTATCCTGGAAACGGGAGGCGATTGTGTGGGCCAAAATCCATGCAAGTGCGAGAAAATTCGGTTCTAGAAGGGGTAACTCTCGGTTTTTGTTGTTTCGTTTCATAACAAGGCAAAAATACACACACTCGTAATATTTTCAGATGCATTAGCCAAGCCACTTTAACTTGGTTCGGATTCGGGTTCAGGGTCGTCGCATTACTCACGCCGAAACCATGCTCACCTTTGACAAGAAATAAGCCGGAGACTCGTGAAATTCTCTTCGAGAATATATTGGCCTGAGTCAGCGTGAAAAAGTGTGCAGCCAACTCAGATCATCCGAGATCGCCCACGGGGTTTAAGGGGAGCTCACTCATTCGCCTTTTTAGCTTGCTAATTAATAAAGCGGCCTTTAGGGGAAGAGTAAGTAGTTAGCTGATTCAGTTAATTGCTTTTATTGGATCATACAATATTTAAGGAGGAAAATATTTTGGGAAGGAAAGACAAACTGCTCTAAAGTACCTATTAGATCTAAGTACCCATGGTTCTCATTCCGTTTGATGCACTACTAACCTATTTTTCTCATGAATGCGACGCCTTTTTTCTCGGGGGCAATGAGGGAATCTCATATTTGCCCCGCCAGTTCAGCTCTTATGCAACATTTGAAGATGCAATTCTTTCAGTTCTCTCTCGGTTTCTCGATTTTCTGCTCTTTGCTGGCTGCAATTTTATTGCTAAATTAAGTAATTGGTCCAAGAAGCCGCCTTCGCATCATCCCCTCCCTTTGACCGCCCTGCATTCGCTTTGGATTCTTCAATCCAAATGTTCTTTGTGCTGGTAAATGTATCTGTATCTGCATCTGAGTATCTGCATCTGGGCATCGCGAAGTGAGAGGCGTGCTCTGTGCTCTTCTCTTCATTTGGATTCTTTGGTATTTCTAAGCGAATGTGAATTGCAGATGCGAATTCCAATTCAGTCCGCGAATTGTCCGAAAAAGAGGCGAGTAGCAGGCCACAGATCATCAGAGTAATGCAGCTGTATCTGCATCTGCAAATGCACATCTATCTATCTAGTTCTCTGCTCTGCATTAGAAGAATCATTCCAGGGAATTGCGACTTATTTTCAACCGAATCTCTTGCATCTCACTGCTGTCATTAGCCAAATTGCAGGCATTCTAATGGCCACACTACTCTTATTTTTACTCAAAAACGTTAAAATTCAATGGAAATAAAAATTTTAAATACATGTTCCAAATTTTGTTTGTAAAATATTTATAATAATTTTGTAAACATTCTCAAATGTATTTACTTGCAGTTTAATACATTTATCTTAAGTTTCGATATGCTTAAGAATTTTTTTCCCAGTGTTGAGGAGTTGATGGAGTTCACTTTGCAAAACTCTGCGTGTGAATCACACGCCTTTCGGAGCAGATCAGCCCTCCTCTCACGTGCTGCTCGTCATCGCCGGCCACAATCTGATCTCATTTTAATCACAGCTAATGAATGTCAACACTAATTGCCACTTGAGTGCCACCACTCAGCAGGAGGGGGTGAGTAGAGGGGGGAGGGGCGAGGGCCGAAGGGGTGGACCCCAAAAATGATCTCAAACAAAACAAAGTTAACAAGCAGTAAACAGAAAAAAGAGTCAAACAAAAGGCAAACAAAACTGCGAAAGCCTAATTACGGGTTGTTATAACTACTAAATATGGGGCACAAACCTCTCTTTTTTTTGGGGGAAAGAGGAAAAAGAGTTGAAGGGCGGCGTTCGGAGTGCGTCACTTAAACGACTTAATATTTACAAAAAGTTACACAAATTAATTAACCAATTAAGTGAACGTAGAGCAGACAAGTGCGGTCATTAATCATAGAGTCTTTCTATGACGAACCACGAAGTCCCCTCGAGCTAATGATGTGGTAAAAACTCAATTCAGAGACTCTTTAATGGGTTTATTCGAGAGTGATAGATGGATTAATCGATCGTTTGGAATTGTCAAAGCCCAAAGCGATCGTATTAAGCGATTGCCACTAAAATGGAATTTTAATGTTATTATCGTGTTCCCATTGACACCTTTAGATATATTTAAATAAATAAATAAATGTGGTTAAATGAAAATATTAGAGCACCTATTATTTATAATATTTTTTATTAAGTGGCCATAAGGAAGGAATCAGACAGATGGAATCAAGTTGTTTCAAAGTCAAAAGTATTATTCGATTGCCACTACAATTTAGTGTTATTACCGTTTGCCCATTACAACTTTTAGACATATTTAAATAAATGTAGATAAATGAAAATATTAAAGTATAATTTTATTCTTTTGTTTATATTTTATTATGGTCACTTTAAGGATAATATATTTATTTTTTTCTCTCTTTCCAAATGCATCTGGAATCAAGTTGTTTCGCCGGCCACATGGCGTATGAATAATCGGCGCAAAGCCTTTGCCATTTATGGCCACCCTGCAGCATCGATCGACTTGGCTCTAAAAGCCGCGTCTTGGACAACGAATTCGATTCAACGATTGTTTGTTTGTTTGTTCGTTCGTTTGGCGTGGCTCTCAGATTTCGAGCTCGTTCTGCGTTCTGCGGCCATTTGGTATTTGGTGCCTTGTCATGCTCCATGCTGCAGTTTGCCAGCTTTTGAGGATAGCCTGCGACCAAGTTGGGGTCGCAATTCTTTATTTGTATTCCGAGTAATTGTCGTCGCCGGCGGCGGTGATGTCATCCGGCAGGTAGATATAGATATACATAGGTGCCAAAAGGTGACTTTTTGCAGCAGTCATCGTCGCGAGCTGCTTGTCGTTGATGGATTTGTTGAGGCGAATCTTGGATTGGATTGGATTGAATTGGTGGATGCTCTTGTCTTGGCTGCTGGCTGCTTGCTGCGCATTTTGACCAATTTTAGCCAAACTCAATTAGTCTTAACTGATGTTTCGTTTGTGCTTTTTATAGAACTCGCCCAGGGTGCGGGAGCTTATGGCTTTCTGATATCATTGGGGTCAAGGCTAGTGTGTTCGGTTCTGTTCAGTTCAGTACAGCACCCCGATTCCAGAACGAATCTCGAGATCTTGGCTGCTGCGCAATTCAAAGAAAGCCGTGCACATAAATTCAGTTGGCTAAATGTGCACAAGCATCTGTATATACAGCATTCTGAGCTGGCTTCGAATCGGCGTCTTTAATTAGCACTGAAATTAAACATTTTTTTTCGTCGTCGTCGGTGCTTTTTCCTTTCATTTGTCGCATTACCTGCCGACCACTCCATTTACCCAACTCTCTCAACGCAACTCAGTGAACTCAGTTCGGTGCGAGTCCCGAAATTCCAGTTCCAGTTCCCAAGCGATCGGCCGACTAATTCTTCTTTAAACAAACCGAGGAGAACCGAGAAATGAGCATCACAACAAGCAGCAGCAGCAAAAAGTAAACTCAGAAATCTTCATAAACATGCTAACAAAAAGTTCTTTTGCCAGCGACCTTGGAATTTCAGTTCATCTGCTTTGCGTGCTTCATTTTATGGCCTCGCCCCCTTGCGCCCGGATTTTGTTATTTATTAATTCGTAATGCCATTTTACGTCTGGCCATTTGGCAGCCATAAAAAGTTTCGGTTCAGTTTCAGTTTTCTTTGAATTTGAATTTGGATTTGGCTCTGGCTTTGAGGGGGAGTCTATATATGCATGGGTATAATGCCCCTAAAGATTCTTCAGAATGCAAGTAGCAGAAGCGAGACCCATTGCTCTGTAGAAGTATCTGCAAAGTTGCGCAACCCACACTCTCGCATGCTGAGTGCCCCCTTTGACTTCATTTTCTTTTTGTATATTTGCATTATTTTGGTTTCTGCCTCGGCTTTGCCCGCATTCAGTATGCGCCCCGTTGCCCCAGTCGCAGCTCCTCGAATTGCATCTGCAAAACACATTCGCAATGGAAAGCAGAAGTGGAATACCAAAGAAGAGCACAGAGCACGCTTCTCATTGTGTGCCGCCTCGCGATTCCGATGCCCAGATGCAGATACGAGGCCGCCAGCGGTCTAATAGATAAAGATACTCAGGCACAGGCACAGATACAGATACATTTACCCGCACAGAGAACATTTGGATTGCAGAATCCAAAGCGAATGCAGGGCAGTCAAAGGGAGGGGATGATGCGAAGGCGGCTTCTTGGACCAATTACTTAATTTAGCAATAAAATTGCAGCCAGCAAAGAGCAGAGGCCCGAGAAACCGAGAGCGAACCGAAGGAATTGCATCTTCAAATGTTGCATAAGAACTGAACTGGCGGGGCAAATATGAAATGATTATGGAGGAATATTGGGAGGGGTGGGCACCCAAGAGGGGCTGACTCTTTGCCCCCAAGAGAAGAAGGCGCCGCATTCATGAGGCAAGTGGGTCAGTGGTGCATCGAATAGGGGGAATACTATGGTTATGACTTGGAACTCTTCGCTATTTGTTTCCAATTGGGCGCAGTACCTATTTATAGACTTTCTGCCTTTAAGGCTGAACCGAATAATAATTAAATTCTACTACATTTTTTTACAACCTTTTCCTAAGAAATGTATTATAAATTAGATGGATTCTTTAATTGAATTATACTGTAAGACTTAATGACAGCACTCACTTACAATATAACAAATTGAAATTATTATTAGTTAAAAGTAGTTGGTTCTTTGCTGCCTGGGAATGCATCCCAGTTAACTGCATCACCTGACTAAGTATAAAATAACCTAATGTCCGATCTTTTTTCACCTATATATAGTATGATTTAGTGCCGACTTGGCTGAGTTATTAATTAGCGAGCTGAGTGAATGCGCTCCCCGCTTTTCCCCGTGTGCGTTCTCGGATGAGCTGAGCTGGCTGCACTTGGCTGATCCCCTCCCTTTCGCCACCAGCCCCGTTTTCTGAGTCAGGCTAATACTCGCGATTGTTTTGGGGCCTTGTCAAAGGTGAGTAATAGGCGGGAGATCGTATATGGCCCGGTCGATGTTTCCACAGAAACTCGCCAAGTTTCGAGGCAAGTGCTCACCTTGAACTTGGCCATAGACAGAGAGATAGAGCTAACTAACTATTTGAATTTGAATTTTTTCTTTATTTTGCAGTTGCATTGCGCTGCCCAGCGAAGCTGAAAATATTTTAATGCTAAGCAACGTTTTTCTCTTTTTTTTTGTGGCTACGGCTAAACAAATATGAATGCGAAATTTTTGTTTGCTGGGACTCACCCACGAACTGGTCATGACAATGCCGATGACGATTTTGTTGGCCTGGCCAAAAAGCAGAACCACAAGCGACAAAGTAATTACGTCGAAGAGGGAGAGAGAGAGGGAGAGCTACAGCAGGTTATGCAAGTTCAAGGCCAAAAACTCTGCATTAATTATAATTATTTTTGCATTTGTTAAACGCAGAGGGGCAACAACAAGCATCAACGAGCTGCCTGTTAATTGTCTGGGCGAATGCAAAAGAGGAAAAACAGGTAAATGCAGAATTTGTTTTGCTCGAATGTGGTAATTAATTGTGGCCAGCAATCGATGGCAGAATACCCCAGCCAGGGGGTTAATGCCATTCGCAAGAATTGAAACTCCCTCAAGACGGAAAGTATATGTAAGATGGGAATATTTTTTAGTAAATAACGGAATAACCCAAAGGAACCAACCTAATATTACAAGCTAATCACGACTGCAATTTTTCTCAGAGGAAAAGTGCTCTCAAGACACGTACTTCTACTTTTTGATACTCCCTCTTGGTTCCACTTTTCTTATCTCTAAAGTATTTGGCACAAGAGCCGCGCTATATCTTATATCATTTGCCGAGATTTGGGATACCCGATAAGAAAGTAAACAAAAGGCTGATAAGCAGCAGTCCAAATTCAATTTGCCCTCCATCGATAAGGCAAAAAGGGGGACTTAAGCCAACGATTGCTCTGCCATTATGGGTCTTAAGAGCTAGAACAGACCATAAAGTGGGGGGAAGTCAGCCATCCAGTGAGACACAGACAGAGAGTGACATAATAAATAAATTTAATCAGTTGGCTGCGTAAAAAGCTCTGCTGATGCTGCTGAATTGGAAGGAGTGGAAATCCGAATCCGATTCCGGGGCAGCTTTAACTTTTACTTTAAGACTGCTGTTCATATTTCGAGTGTTTAGTGTTTATTTCTTTTAATTCCGCCCTTTTTATGACCTGACTGTCTGGCTTATCTCATTGCGACCCCGATTCCCATTTTCATTTCGTTCTTGTGTCTGCCATAGGAAATCGAGACAATGTGGCTTTAACTTTGGCCACGTTGCGTATGCGTAATAGAGGCCTCAAAACCAACTCAAAGGGCAATTGTTCTGTTGTGACACTGAGCGAGTTTTCATAGCCAGCAGCTAGCATACATTCCAAATTATTATACCCTTGCAGAAGGTATTATGATTTCAGTCAGAAGTTTGCAACGCAGTGAAGGAGACGTTTTCGACCCCGTAAAGTATATATATTCTTGATCAGCATCACAAGACGAGTCGATCTAGCCATGTCCGTCTGTCCGTCTGTCCGTCCGTCTGTCCGTCTGTCCGTCCGTCTGTCCGTCCGTTTCTACGCAAACTAGTCTCTCAGTTTTAAAGCTATCGGTATGAAACTTTCGTAAAAATCGTATTTCTATTGCAGGTAGTATATATGTCGGAGCCGACCGGATCGGATAACTATATCTTATAGCTCCCATAGGAAGGATCAAAAAAAAAAAACGTAAAAAAATTCTATCTCCGGTGTTTTTTTAAATTTTACCTTCTACTCTTGGGACTATTTTTTTTTATATATTTCTGAATTTCGTTTTTTTTGTTTTGTAAATCGGATCACTATATCATATAGCTGCCATAGGAACGGTCGAAAAATTAAATGGAAATTAATGGGAAAAAAATTATATCTTTGTTGGTTTTTATTACATTCCCTTCTACTCTGGGATATGACTATTTTGAAATATTTCCGAATTTCGATTTTAATTTTTAAAAGATCGAACTACTATATCATATAGCTGTGATAGAAACGATCGAAAAATTAATGTGAAATAATAAGAAATTTAACATTTTTGCGATTTGTAAATTAATAGAATGATCTGCAAGGGTATATACGCTTCGGCTTGCCGAAGCTAGCTTCCTTTCTTGTTTTACGTTCATCTTTCCATCCTCTGTATTTAATGCCTTTATTAACACATTCCATTTACCGCGACTCGTGTGAGTTTTCCATTATTTTCACCCCTCTGGAAATTTACATCCTTTCGGCTGTTTGTTTGTTTACTTACTTCTGGGGATTAAATCCCCAATTAAGCTCATGATTATATGAATTTAAAGTGCTAGCAAAAAAGGGGGAATTTTAATCATTTAAATTTAATTGAAATTTAAAAACAGAAAGCTGCTGCTCGTCCTGTGGCAAAAACGCAGCACAGTTTTGTGGCTTACATTATTTACACCTCCAATTCGCATCTCTTTTTGTTATTGTGACTGGGGAAATAATTAGCAAAAGCAATCATTTAAATTTAAGTCAAAATTTAAACGTGAAATTGTTTAATTATACGAGTACTGTCGTACATACATTCGTGTGTGGCAAGGGAATTTGCATAGTAATTGCATTGCAATTGAAATAATTGATTGTTCCATTCGATGTTTGTTTTTGATTGATTTGTCGGCACTGAGATTACGTTTCAATACGGGCAATTAAAATTGGATTCATTTGTTTTAGAAATAAATGTTCTCGTTTATTTATAATCTTTTTAAGACACAAATTTAATTACAATGTAAAGTTATAATCGATTTAAGCGAATAGTTTACCTAAATCTTGTGTAACACATTTCAGCTGATTAGCACTAAACAAAATCGTATTTATGATGCGGAAATCGGTTTAATTTTCCCCGATAGCCTTCCATTTGTTATATGGACTTATGTATAACTGGTTAACGCTTTGGCTAAAGACTAAACTTCGGCAATTAACACAGAACGTTGGTTCCATCATTGAATCGCATAAATATGCTAATTTATGTTTTCATCGTCATAGTATTCTAAGCTTAAAATTGGATTCGTTTTTTTTTCTTTTTATTATTCATCTTATTAGCATAAGCTGTTCGATTAAAGACATTTGGAGTGGAGCGCTATTTTTAATAGAAAGTAAAAGTTGTATTTTCTAAATGATGACACAAGTTTAACTGAATGGGAAATGGGTCAAGGTTCTTTATTTAACGATGCAAGTATTTCTAGAAAATGAACTCATTAATGGACTTTATATTAATATTTTTATTACAGTTATTATTTCGCTTAACTATTGTAAGAACCAATACCATTTAATCTATAGTCTTCTTTATCCTTGGAAACATTCTAAAAATTTTAAGTACGTTTTTTTCTCGTGGCAGCCACTTAACCTAAGTTTATGAATTGGAATCCGCGGGCATCCTCATTCGAATCATCTCCACCTAAATCTCGATCGGCATCGAATCCAGATGCTTGTACGGCGTCGTTTCCCCAATTGTTTCTATCATTGCCACTGTTATCCAATGTTTCCAGTAGCTTCAGAGCCCTATCGACATCAGAGTTGTGAACACTATCGCTCCAGTCATCGTTGCTACCTGTCGATCTGGTTCCTCCTTCTCCACCGCCACCTATGTTTATACTCTGAAATATACCCGATGCACCGATCGCGGTATAGATTAATCCGAACAGTAGCAGAAGGCGGAGAATGGTTTGCATTTTGTTTCGATTAGCGCTGGTTGCAGTTGACTGAATGTCAGTCGACTTCCGAGCTTGGCTTTTATAGCCTTGCCCTGGGTTATCTGCAATTCGAGGTGTGATTGATATTTTGTACACAAAGGTTAAACTTGTACTGATTGAAGTGAGTGCGGGAAATTCCCGCTTTCGTTAACAGCGCACTTTGCTTGTTTACCACAAAATAAATTGATATCTTAAGCGATGTTCTGACTGCCAGTAAAGCTACAGTGAAAAGAATTTTCTAATATTTTCCCTATAATTTTGGAAAAGAAGTTGTATAAAAAGGAAATAATGCTTTTGAGGTAAATAGGGTTTTTTTTTAATTTTCAAACAAAATCAAAGATGTTAACTTTACATAAAATTTTTACAAAAAGTTACTATTGATTTAGATTTTTCACTATTATAAGATTAAATTATCACAATATTCTAGTTTTTACTTACTAACAAAAAATTAGGAAGAAATAAATTATAATTCTAGACAATCAATAAATTAGAAAAGGATATTTTATTTACAATTATGCTACTGGCTTAGTAACGGAATCAATCGAATCCAAGGTGGTTTCATCGTAATCGAGACTCAAGTGGTCTGTTGAGTTTTCATGAGCTTCGTCGTATTCCTGCCACCGTCTAATTAGTTCGTCCATTGCGTTCATAAACTCTTCGGCGCTATTGTATCCACTGCCAGATTCCTCCAAGACATCATAGTTGGGATCGTCTGTAGTCCCGATAAGATCGTGCGGATGGGCAGCAATCAGCACCGCACAAATGATTCCAAGTAGGAGCAGAATCGGAATAGTATGGCTCTTCATACTGTTCAATAATCGGCGGACAACTGCATTTCTAGTTGTAATTTCTTTCGTTTTTATACGGATCGGATCGGTCAGTGATAGTTCAGCGGAATTCTGGAAAATCCAGTCTGGGTTAAGCCCAAGTTGCAGGCTGCTTGAGTTTCCTCATTCATATTTATGCGTTGCGCGGTGCAATATTCCACTCTGAATCTGAGTCATCGCAGGCCAAGCCAAACAAGCATAGCGCATACGACACGTAGCCACTTGCGGTTCAACAGTCATGCAAATAAGTCTGCGATTAATTTCTAATAATTGATATATCTGTACAGTTAATTGTCGGTCTTTGAATCATCAATCACTTGTTAGGCAAGTTAGCTCGAAAAGGCATTTAGTTTAAGCCCGTAATTTATTTTAAGTACATTGAAACCTATTCTACTGCAGATAACTGCAAATAATTAGCCTATTTTTTTAAATATTAAACAAATATATTTAAATAAATAAACAAAACTATTTTCGATAAATGGTCTGGGACTAAAATAATTTTTTTAATGATTTTTAATTGTTTTGAAATTTAAGTTTATTATTCATTTTATTTTTTTATTAAATTATTTTTTATTGATGTAAGATCGTACTTTTCCCAAAGCGACTGTAGCTGCAACGCCCTAGTAGGCCGTTGCTGGATGCTGCCGGCAACCCCTAAATGACTTGGCTACGAACATCGAGCACTTCACTCCGCTTCGTTGCTTCAATCCCCCTTTGGCTCCTCGGGCACTTTATTCAATTTTCCAAAGCGCGCGCAACCAGTTTCTCCAGCTACCGCCCAACCCCCATTTTCCCACATCCCGTACATCCCACCCATTCACGAAACCCCCTGGTAAAAACATGCAATCTACTCACGAGGCTAATGCCCTTTTATGGCTTTGGAGTGTGCCGCATCAGCAAAACGGTGCTGAATCGCTGCTGAAGTTGCAGCATCCAACAAGACCATTAGATGGGCCACCAGACTCGATTCCCCACGCTGCAGCTCATTATCCTTCGTAGAAGCACCCACCCATCCATTGAATTGAACGCGGACTTGTCTGCAAATATGTCGCACATTTGCATCATCATCATTGGAGTCTGAGACGGCGCCATTGAAATCAACGTTAGCTCTTACACAAATCGTTTTCACTGATTCTCAAACCGTTTTCGACACTTTCCATTTCTTTTTATTGAATTATATTCGAATGTTTAATCTATCAAAGAGAAAGTAGTTGATAAAAGAAAATAGAATGTAGAGATGTACTATAATTATTTTCTTTAAATCATTTAATTTGATATATATTTTTATACCCGTTACTCGTAGAGTAAAAGGGTATATTAGATTCGTGCAAAAGTATGTAACAGGTAGAAGGAAGCGTTTCCGACCCTATAAACTATATATATTCTTGATCGGGATCACTAGCCGAGTCGATCTAGCCATGTCCGTCTGTCCGTCTGTCTGTCCGTCTGTCTGTCTGTCTGTCTGTCTGTCTGTCTGTCTGTCTGTATGAACGCTGAGATCTCGGAAACTATAAAAGCTAGAAGATTGACATTTTGCATGCAGATTCTAGGAGTTCCTACGCAGCGCAAGTTTGTTTCAAAAGGGTGCCACGCCCCCTCTAACGCCCACAATCGCTAATGTACGATTTTAAAAATTTCAATATTTTGGAAAAGTAAAAATGCAGTTTTATTGTGTTTATCAATACCTATCGAAATGTAGAAGAAATTTTTTGAATCGGACCATTCGTTAAAAAGTTACGACGGATCAAAGTTTTTCTCCATCTCCTTCGCACTCCCTTTAGCTGAGTAACGGGTATCTGATAGTCGGGGCACCCGACTATTGCGTTCTCTCTTGTTTTTGTTAGAAGACAAACTTTAAAGCTCATTTAGCAAGTATATAATTCTTGTTTAATATTATTATTTTAATTTTAACAAGCAAAATATTTTAGTCCATTCCAAGAATTTATTTGCATAGACTCAGAAAAAAAATCGCCCTGAATTTTAGAAAATCGCCATACTTTTTAAGCCAAAGGCAGCTCGCCTTGCCTTTTAGAAAAAATTGTTCTAAAAATTAGAAAAAAAATTTCTTAAATTTAGGGTTAGTTTTTGCAGAATTAAATAAGAAGAAGAAAAAAAAAATCGGGGAATCGGGAGTTATGCCGACTCCACCCCTCTGTCGGAGTGGGGTGTTGTTGTTGGGGTTCTCGTTTCTCAACTTATTATTACTTATTATATTATTATATTATACACCTTTAATCTTAAATTGTAACTGAAATAATAACTGAAATTATTATATTATTTATTAATGATAAACATAAAAATCAAATAACTTACTATCTTGAGAAAAACATTTTGGTCGCTCGCGGGAATCGAACCCCTACGTCACAGTTTGCAGTCAAACACTCTACTAGCTGCGCCAGGGAAGCATCACGAGAGGCGCTGTACAAAGTACATTCTCATTCTGTTCTCTTGGGTTTTAGGTTTATAATCTTATTTATCCATTATGTGTATGTTAGCTTACCTAAATCCTTATTTGTATTAAAGTATTCATATTAATGCGCAAAAAAAAAAAAAAAAAAAAAATGTCCGCCTCGACGTGGGATCGAACACACGCTTCCGAATATAAGCGTAGAAAACAAATAATCCGCTCGCATTAGACCCCTAGGCTACCGATTGGGCCAATTTCCTAAAATGTAAGGCGATTTTTTCTTAGTTTGAAAGAAAATTTTCTGAATAACAGAAAATTTTTCTAAAAGTGGATAACAAGAGGAGTTGATCTAATCAGGGTAAGTTTTTCTTATTATTTAGAAAAATATTTCTGAAAAATAGAAATATTTTCTGAATTTCAAGGCGATTTTCAAAGTATGGCGATTTTCTAAAATTTAGGGCGATTTTTTTTCTGAGTGTATCAATTTTTTCCAAGTTGTTGCTTTTGGACAGTCTCAGCAATGGCATCTAATTGAATTACAAATTTTTTCTTCATCTGCGTTAGAGGTTTAAAAATCTCTGCATTCCTACAGAATAGAACTGGATTTTGAGATTTGGCCAGTGGTTCCTAGGCCCACATAAATACCGGCAAGAATGTGTGCTTCTAAGTAGGCAGAACCTTAGCAAGTGTCATAAAAAAATACAACTGAAATGGCCCAGGCACTCCGCCATATAAGTATGACAGGCAGTCAAATTAACATTTCAGTCACACAATGACCTTCACCTAGAAGCCATCAAAGCGTACCCAACCGTCGGCCCAGCCCTAGCCCCTAGCCCCAAATCCCAAGCTTCAACGGAGACCAAAGCCAAAACCAAATCCACTGCCAAAGCCAAAACCAAAACCAACTTCAACGCAACGCGACCAAATAACATCCAAAAATCAAAGTCAATCAAAAAAAATCGGGGAACCAGTCAGGTCTTGCAAGATCACTCTTTATATACTCTTTCAGAAACTGAAATAATATTTTAAGTTTAATCACTGAATTTCTTCAATTTTAAAAATTATAAATTTATATCTGCAGTTATTAATTAAAATATCTTAAGCATATTATTAAAGCAAAATTTAAAATATCTAAGCAATACATATTTACCAACTAATACGATTTTTACGATATTTGATTCTAAAAATTATTCTATTACCCAAATAAAATATGGAAGTGCTCTTACCTGAACTGTAAAATGAATTTGATACTGGTAGAAAAATCAAAAGATAATGCAATTTAATTTTCTTTTAAATATTGTTTGTCCTGCATTACAAGAGTGTTACGAAAATTATTGAACCCCCAGCAAGGGCATTAGGAATATATGAAAAACGAGACAAAGCCGAAGCTGCCTTTTGCTCATTCGGTCGCGTAATTTTGTTTTCGGAGCCACTTGATTAGCACGCTCTGAGCCATGTTTAAACGTGGGCTGTTTAACCAAACGGCAGCCAATACAACCGACCTGGCCAGAAGACCGTCCAATATACGGCAATAGCAACAACAAGAGCACCGATATTGGCCACGACTGCGAACACAATTCAGCTAAAGACCGCACTAAAGACTTTGACGCAAAAAACGTGCGAGTACGTGCCGCTGATTAGTAAAACAAACAAATTAAATTGGTTTCTGCTTTTTGCCTGATTTTCCTCTTTTTTGGTTTTCGGCTTTGGACTAAGAGCTAGACAAAAGAGCCGTGTTAACTCAAAGAGACTTGCAAAACTTTTAAAAGAGAAGTGTGATGGATTTTAGCCAAGAGAAGTCAATACAAGTTGTAATCAACTTATGGAACAGATGCCAGCGATGTTAGATTAACTATCTAAAAGTTTAAAAATCAAAGAAATTTTGCTAAAATGTTTAAGACCATAACATTTGTCAAATAATTTAATTACTTTTCCAATTTATACAATAAGGGGGACTAATATGAATATAATTCTATTCCTCCATAAATCGTTCTTGTTACTCATAAAAATTAAAAGATTAACTCTTTTGACCATAAAGGTCCACAACAAATCGAATTGATCTTTGCAACTACTGGTCTTGGCTTATAAGTAGGCACCTGTGGCCAGTAGATCTATGAAATAAAATGAATATTTATATAAGAATGGATTGCATTGTCATGAGTAGGCAAACGTCTCGCGCATTCTTGGCTTTATGGCTTGGCCCGTGGAGAAGGAGAGTCAGGTTTGTTAATCCATGCCGAATCAATATGCAGGTCGCGGCTTTGACTCAATTCTTATTTTGCCCGAGACGTCATTATAAACCGCAGCGTTTTCGGTTGGCAAGGGGGGTTTACTTGGGCTAAGCCCATTACTGGACACCAGTTGGTTAGGTGCTGTGGATCCGCTGTTTCTACACTCAAAAATTATGTGGCTCAAAGCTGCATGCAAATTGGCAAAAAATAAAAGGATTAATAAAATAGCAAAAAATGCTTTTCTTACATACTGATGAAATATGAGTATTTTTAATATACCTATTATAATGTTAACTGGGTTACAAAATAAGTATTTAATTAATTAAACTCTATTAAAGCTGAAGGTTTGTCAAAAAGTATCCTTCCCATTAAAAAATAAACGGTCG